CTCATGGCACATTGCCATCACTGGTCTGCTGGCGCCCTGTCCAATTTTCTTTGCTCCCTTTTATTTCTATTTCTTTCTCCCCACTATAATTCTAATGTGTTCAACATTTGTGTCTTTGTATACGCACTTCCAAAATATGATTGTGGTTTTTTGCACAGTAATCTTAATTTTCATAAATGGTATCACATAAATGATACTGACCCCATGCTGTTTTTCCTCCTTTTCATTCAGCACTGTATTAAAAATCTCTTTGTGTTACTACTTCCAATTAATTGCTTCTGTCTGCTGATAGCGCACTGCAATGTCCATCCAACACCTTTCATCCATCTTCTCTCCCAGTGACAGGCACCCAGGTTACCACCAGCTCCCTGCTGTCTCAGTAGCGTTGTGATTAACGTCTGCCCATTGTCCCCTCGAGACTGTGTAAGAGTTCACTGGGATGTACATCCCCAAGGGTGGACTTGCTGGTGTGTAGAGCGTGTGTATGCTTAACTTGATGAAGTCGTGCCAGGCTGCTCTCTCAGGTGGCCCCACCGTCCAGCCCTCCCGACTCCAGAGCGTGAGTTTCCAGGGTCCTCCTGTCTCTGCTAAGGCTTAATGGTCCAGATCTCAGATGGTTGCCAGTCTAATAGTTTAAACTGGGATCTCATTTTAATCTGCATTTCCATAATTATTGATGACTTTGAGCATTTCTTCACGTCTGTGAGCCTTTTGAGTTTTACATCTTTTGACCAGATTTCTATTGGGGTTGCTATCTTTTTCTGCTTGATTTGTAGAAGTTCTCTGAATGTTAATTCCCTATTTGTTTTAGATGCTGCAAATATCTTTTCCTGTTGTATTTTCTATTTATAAATTCGAGTTCAGAAAGAATCTTCTAGTTTGTCAGCCGTTTAGGGGTAATTAAAAAAAATCTTAATAAATGTTATACCTTCTCAAATGCTTTTTCCATCTATTAACATCTTTCAGCTTTTCTGCTTTAGTTTATTAATGGGATGATTTTCATTGAAAAAATTTCTGATATTTAACTATCCTTGCATTCCTGGGATACACTCTTCTTCATAATGTGTTCTTAGATTGAATCCTATGAAATTGCTATTTCTTAGGTCAGAAAATAGTCAAATATTGGCTATATCATAGAGGTCAAATTAAATATTTTTAACAAACTTGATTCAATTATCTTTTTTTAAAAAAGGTTTTTGCATCTATAATCAAGATTAAAAAGACTATAATTTTTTTTTCTTGATTTGTCTCTGCTTTTAAAATCAGAATCAGAATTCTACTAGCTTCAAAAAATGAGGTGGATAGCTTTTTTTTTTTCCTACATTTCCGTGTTCTAGAACAACTTACATAGGATAAAAATTCATGAAAACTAGAAATCTGATAGAATTCAAATGTAAAGATATTTAGGACTGGGGACTGGCCTGGTGGCATAGTGGTTAAATTCATGCACTCTGCTTCAGCGGTCTGGGGTTCACAGGTTCCGATCCTGAGTGCAGACCTACACACCACTCATTGGGCCATGCTGTGGCAGCATCCCACATACAAAATAGAGGAAGATTGGCACAGATGTTGGCTCAGGGCCAATCTTCCTCACCAAAAAAAGAAAAAGATACCTAGGACTGTGTTGGCTTTTTTTTTTTTTTTGAAAGAATATCCTTGGCTGTCATTTCAGTTTCTTTAATAATTACTGTTCTGTTGCGGTTTTACATTTATTCTTGCACTAAATGTGGCATTTTAAATTTTGAGGCATTTATCTGTGTCATGTAGATTTTAAAATGTGCCGGCATTTAGTTCACGTTGATATACTATCCATAATAATCTTATTTTTAAAAATCTGTGTGTAGTTATTTCCCCTTTCTAGTTCTGGAATTGATTTGTATCATCTATTTTTTTCCTTGATCGGTTTTTGCAGTGTTTGTCTTATTAATGTTTTCAAAGAACCAGGTTTTAATTTCATTAATCTTTATTGTAGCATTTTTGTTCTGTGTGTGGTTTAGTTTTGACTGGGGGCAATGGTTCTATTTTCATTAACAGATGCCCTTATCTTTACTATTTTCTCTCTTCTTGTTTCTTTACAATGACGAGGTAGCTCTTTTTCTAACTTCTTGGTTGTAATGCTTAACTTAATTTTTTTAACTTATTTTCCAAAAAATTATTCAAAATTATATATAGCCTTCTAAGTTCTTCTTTAGCTGTGTCTCAAGTTTGATATCTAGAATTATAATTTTTATTCAATTGTCAATACTATATTTCTTAATTTCCTGTATTATTTCCGTTTTAGCTAACTAAAAGGACTTTTAACTAACATTAATTCATTTCTAAACACAAGGGAATTTTAAAGTTATTTTGTTGTTAATTCATAGTTTATCATAGTCTTATTGCGCTATGTTCAAAGACACAGCCTTACGGCATTGACTCTTTGAGAGTAACTGAAGTTTCTTTTATGGCCCAAATCACAGTCTGTTTCTTTAACTGTTCTGTGTATGCTTCCCCAAAATGTGTACTTTCTGTCTGTCAGATATGGAGTTTTCTTATCTCTGATACCTTGAGCTCATTGTGTTGTTAAAGTCTTCAGTATCTTTTTTTTTTTCCTGAGGAAGATTCGCCCTGAGCTAACATCTGCACCAATCGTCCCCTGTTTTGTACGTGGGTTGCCACCACAGCATGACTGCTGACAAGGGGTGTAGGTCCACGCCCAGGAGCTGAACCTGGGCCGCTGAAGTGGAGTGTGCCAAACTTAACTGCTAGGCCACGGGGCCGGCCCCTTTGGTATCTCTTTTGAAGAATCTTTTTCTGCTTTATTGTTTTCTGAAAGGGATGCATTACAATTTTGGTTTTATTTTTTTTCTTAGCTGTTGTATCATTTCTTAACTGTCTTACCCTATAATCCAATAAACAAAGCAGGTGAAAGCATGATTGCTCTGGTTGGATCTGGCAGAAGAGGTCTTAAACCCAGTGTCCTCTCGAGGCCCCATCCCTGGGCCTTCCAGGCACCTCTGCAGAGTCCCTGAATTGGGATATTATTTCTGTAAATAATCTATGAATTAACCTTTTAACCTTAGACTTAGTTCTTATCACCCACCCGCTAACCCAGAGAACTTTCAGTTCAGCCAAATGGGCCCTCACATTCTCCTCCACCTCCACCTGCACATCTGCTTGTCCACTTCCATTCCACCTGTGGGATTCTTCTCACATGACCAAGTCCTGTACCTTGTTCAAAGCTGTGCACATTCTTCGAGCCATGTCAGTTCTTGGAACCCTAATACCAGTTGTTGCTAGCACAATTCATTTAGTGTCATTCACTGAGCTAGTTCAGTAATAGAGGAGTATTTATGGCGTGACCAGCACTTGCAGTAGTCAGAACTTCTGTTTAAATAGTTGTAGTTGTTTGATATTTTTTGTGATAATGTTTGCCGGCCCTGTTTGCTGTGAAGCATCTCGAGGGAAAGGCATGTCCTGTAGGTCTCTGTTCATTAAAGCACCTGCTTAGCATCTTGTTCTTGCTGTTGAACAACAAAAATACATTGAGTTTATTTACTTCATTGTTAATGTGGCTTAATTTTTTTCCGATATAGAGGACAGTTTTGTTACATTCTAAGTTCTTTATTTTGCTGTATTTTGCTAAATGTGTCCTTTATTGTTAATAGTAAGCTTTATCAGTGAAAATTCTTTAAGATTCTCTTCAAAATCCTTGTAAAGCAGACAAGGTTATTCTCTTTCTAAAATAAGCAGCCATTTATGGTTAATTCATTTAATGTAAATTTATGCGTAAAGTAGTTTTTACAAGTTTAAATTTGTGTACTCTTGTAAGGCGGTGTCTCTTAGGTGTCTCTTACAATGCACTAGGCTGTCTTCCTCCCCCACCCCCTAAAGATTAATTATTTGAGCTAAGCTTTCAATTTGCAAGGTTCCCTCTGAGGGCAGTCAGCCTAAGTCGAGCATTCGACTGGCAGAGAGAGTTCCAGGACGGCCACAGCGTACTGACGTGTTACGCTGCTGCTGAGGCGACTGCGTTACCCCAGCGGTGATGGCAAGCCTCGGAGCCCCGGCAGCACCCAGGGCCTGAGCTGGTGCCATGGAGGGCAAGACGTGCTCACAGCAGTATCATTTTCCTCCTTGGCCTGCCAGTGTGGTTTGTTGCACAGAACCAAGATAAGTGAAGCGCAGTCAGCCAGCTCCTAAAGTAGGTCATTTAGACCTTAGAGTGGAGGTGGCAAGGTGAGACACGAGGCGGAATAAAAGAGTCACAGAAGACTTATCAGCCATGAGCCACTGAGTCCTTTACTGTGTGTTTTATTTCATTTTCCCAACATCCATGTAGTGGGTATTATCCCATTTTACAGATAAAGCAGTAGAATTGCGTAGACATAAAATAGTGCATTAATTATTGGATGTTGACTAAGTGGTAGATTTGAGTATTGAATTCAGATCTGACAGCCAAACCAACATCCTCAATTCCTCTTGTTTTTAGTCGCATAACACACAATATTGTTTTGTACCCTTTGTATACTTTAAAGAAATGTAATTGTTCAGAAGTTAATTGTTGATTTTCTTTCCTACTGGACTGCAAGTCCATGAGAAGGGGAACCGTGTCTGTTTTGTGCAGCATGGTATCTCCAGGACCGAACACTTGTCTCATGCTCAGTAAATACTCTTTGCCCCACCCCCTCTTTTTTTTTGGAGAGGGGGTGGGGAGGCCGGGATTTCCACCACATTGTGTTGACTGTCTTAGTTAAGAACTTGGTGGGTGGACGGTCTGGGCCGGTCTGACCCTGGAGAATTAGAGAAGATGTTATGGGTGAGCCGACCTTCTTAGATGGGAATAAAATCATTTCCATCTGTAAACTGTGCATAAGGCTAGAAGACCTCAAGCACTTCATTCTCAAAAAGGGACCTTTCATTGTACAGGAATCGCAGTGAGGATGGGGAAGTGTTGATGTCTCTGTAACATAGATTCTGCAGCTCTATTTAAAATTTTTTTACCTTTTTTTTTTAAATAGAAAAAATTAGACAAAGATATGCAGACCTGCCTGGAGAATTGCACATTATTGAACTGGAAAAGGATAAGAATGGACTTGGACTCAGCCTTGCTGGGAATAAAGACAGGTCGCGCATGAGCATATTTGTGGTGGGAATTAACCCGGAAGGACCCGCTGCCACGGACGGACGCATGCGGATTGGAGATGAACTGGTAGAGGTGAGGGGCGCGTGTTCTTCCTTTCTCTTCGGGTGAAGGGAAAGGGATAATGTAAGTGGATAATGTAAGGAAAATGAGGGGAAGGAGGTTACTAATTATGTTTGCTTAAACTATTGAAAATCGTTTTCCAAAGCAAAAATGTAAATCATTTTGCTGCTTGCAGATGCTATTTGCTGCTTGAGTGAAAACCAGTCTCACAAAATAATTTAGGAGCCCTTAAGTAAAGTCTCATGGAAACATTTTACAAGAATAGGGCTTGTTTTTAATATAAATTCCAAAATGTTCAAAACTAATTTGTGTATTAATCTAATATTGCTAGTGTTTATCAAAATTCTCTTTGGGTTTTGAACTGACCGTAAGTATGGATTTGTTTTTGTTGTTGTCATGTAGTTTTTGGGGAAGGTATTAAAGCCAACAAAACTTGGTGAACTGGTTGTCAAGGATTGGTTAGTATCTGTGAAGCAGGTGATGGGGTTAAGGCCGCATAGGTTCCTTACTTAGGAACAGGGCAGAGATAAGAGAAGCTGAGGAGGTGACTGGTCCTCTGCTGGTTACTCTCTAGATGATTTCATCAATAATCTGCAAAGGTTATTCTTATTTTCCTAAACTGAAAGTCAGGGTTTCTGTTCTGAGTTTATCTTAGTTTGATACTCATTTGCTTGTTCAATCACTCATTCATTCAGCTAACATTTTTTGAGTGTCATTGAGAACTGAATGCAGAAGAAGAGATGAATACGTCCGGTCCCTTCATTCAGATAGCTCACAGTCTAGAGGAAGAAAACAGACATGAAGAGATTGTTGCGCTACAAGATAAAAAATAATAATAACAGCTGATATGTACTCGATAGCAAACACAGCAACCTGTCTCACTGGCGAGCTCCCAGAGTAAACGATGGTGCTAGGATTCAGTGTCAGGCATTGTGACTTCTTGGCTCTGTGTTGACCAGTGCGCTCTGAGCCCTCGTGGATGCGATGCCCCAGCACCGCACGTTTAGGGAGCTGGGTCACCAGGCACCAAGCATCTGACTGCTGAAAGTGAGAGCTTGCTGATTTTGCATTTTACAGTTCCCTCTTCAGTCTACTCAGAGTAGAATCCACAGTCATCTGTAATTCGACTTGCCTGATAACATCTACAGCCCAAGCTAGTCAGACACAACTGTCAGACCCTTAGTGTCCACCTGTTTTCCAAGCCCTGGCAGTTTCTCCCTGTTTAAAACCTGTTTCCACGAAGAGTCACTTCTGGAGTTACCTTTCTTGTCTTGTTCTTTTGTAAAGGAGCGTCAGGAAAGGGACTCACGTTGGGTAGTAGTACTGACTAACAGTCATTAAATAAATAAAAATTGAAGGGGACAGTATGTATTAACCAATGTAATTCATCACTGCAAGTTTATTTCCTCAGATGAGACTTAAGTGATGGTGGTGGTGACAATGTTGAACGTAAAGTTGATTTACTGGCAGTAGCCAGCACCACGCCATGCGCACGCACGTTTGAATTCAGCGTTCGTAAGAGCCCTATATAGTGAGTAGCATCATTATCCCCATTTTATGGATAAGAAAACTGCGTAGCTTGCCTAATATCACAGAACTAAGGTACCAAGTTTCAGTAAGAACCCAGGCTTGCCAGACTCCTAGATCGGTGCTCTAAGCACTGTGTCCCCCGTGTGCTTCAGCCAAGCCTCGTTTGTGCAGACCCTTGAGAATCCTGATTTTCGATGCCCGATCTGTAGGGAATCGCATGTGTCAGGTCACCCCGCTGTGTTGTGCGCACACAAGTTTCCTGCCTTGCGAGGTGTGAAGGAATGTTCCCGAGGCTCTGATTGACAGCTCGAAGACTCCACGTTTGTGCTCTAGACCTCGTTAAGACTTGAGGTGGAATGGCCTATGGGATCCAGACCTGAGGGAGCATTGGTGCCTTGTTTCTCCGTCTGAAGTTTTATTGGGTGCGGGTAACAGACAAGCTGAGGCTGCGGGGTAATGAGTGTTGTGCAGGCCGTGTGCAGAAGCCGACACTGTGTACACGGCTCGAGCTCTGGACTTGTAAGACCTGCTCTGACCTTTCCCAGTTCTTTCAGTTATTGGCTCCATTTCAGAAGGGGCATAACGTAGTGCGTCGCACAGAGTTGCCTGTTGGTTAAGTCACATTCCTCCCTCACAGACAGAGATGTTAGGTGTCTATTGGCCAGGCTGGAGGCAGAAGAGCTCTCCTGGGTGAGAAGGAGCATTAACCTCTTGCCATATGGGACCCCTCCAGTTCCTGCCCTTGCCTCTGAGATTGGCCCTTTGTTGCTATTCAGCAACTTGACCTCCATTCAGAGAGGGGAAGAGCAAGAAGATCAAACCTGGCAATGAGTTAATCCCCTTGTACTCCCCACTGATTCTCCTGTTTAAAAAAAAGATAACAGATAAAAATATGTTGGGACACAGATGCCTGTGTCATATATCTTTGCCTAGCTGTTTATCTTCTCTAACCCTCAGTTACTTCCTTTATCAACGGAAATTATTTATTCATTCGCGTGTATGGTACGTGCACCTGTCGTGTAGGAGGCAGTCTGTGAGCAGAGTGCTGGCTTTACCTGGGAGGGCGAGAGCCGCACCGCCTGCCCTCGTAGACCGTGCACTCTAGTGATGTCGCCTCGGCCTCAGAGGGTGTTGCTGTGAGAATTCATGAGAGAGGATTTGTCAAGTTCTGCACGGTGTCTGGCACAGAGTGACGCCGTAATGCATTTCAGCTGATGTTATCTATAAAATAATATTTTCATGTGGATTTGTGTATTTCATTCTCCTTAGTTTGCCTGCATTAATACACTTGTCTCTGAAGGCTTCTCCCAGAGGGCAGCCATCTTCTTCTTCCTCAGCAGCTCCGTGCGGCGTCTTGAAAAGCCGAGAGGATGGGAAATGCACATACTGGATTTCTAAGCAGTTATAACCCATCTTCTCACGTGACTTTGGCTCTAGGTCAGGGATGACAGGGGGAAAAATTGTGTGGGAAACATTTTCCTGGTTACTTTTTATAGCTGAGGAATTGAGGTTAGTTTTCATAGCTGATATATGAGGAATTTGTATAGAGCATGCTATCACATCCAGTGTGCTTTTAAACTGAGAACAGGAAATTGATTTGACCATGAGTGCCAGGAGAGCTAACGCCAGCGTTCCCGCAGCTGTTCTCGGGTGTTGCAGGGGCTCCACTGTAGAAGGACGCCGCGATATGTGGGCGGCTCTTACCTCGGGCCTCAGCGTGGCACTCACTAGGCTTCTGGGCGAGAGCACATCTTGCCTTTGCTCACCCACCCACAGTCCGTTTAACTTTGTGCTTTCTCTCCTCAGTTGAGGTAAAGCTATCGTGTCTTGATTATTTTTGCAGCTCTACCATTTGCTCTTGTTATTTCTCATTGTCGCTTTGTTGTTGCTGTTATGTTGTTACTTTGCTCACAGCCTCCATTTATTAAGAGTTGATCTGACTTTTATACCATAAGATGAGGTTAACTTATGGGAGGTAGAAAAGAGAGTGGTCGAATGTACGTCGTGGCCTCTTTGAAGTCAGAAATTCCGCTTCTTTGTAGCGCCATTTCCGGTTTTTGGCACGACATTCGCCGCAGTTTTGTAGCCGTGGGACTGCATTGTCAGCGTGGAGGAGCAGTCAGCAAGTTCTCTCGACCGATGGCCCAGTTCCTGTATAAAGGAAATCTTGCGTTAAGCCCCCAGAAGAAAACGTGATTAGATCTCAGCTTCCTTACCCTTTACTGTGGTGCTAGTGTGGGGGTTCCGAATTAATTTCCAACGGCATTAGCATATAATTACCATGTAGACTGGAATGAGGCTTGCACTAGAGTGTTGGCTTTCCCTAAGCAATTAGTGCCAGAAAATACACAGGCCTGGGCATGGTGCTGTCAAATGAATATAGGGTTTATTTATACTCTTCCCTACGGTGCGAGTGTGGGAAGAGAGAGCGGATGGAGCTGTGTGGGGAGCTGGAGTGATGTGTCAGGTTGCAGAAGCAGCCGGAAGGAACAGCGTGGGTGGCACAAGAAGTGCACAACTGATTGGGCTGGCACGAAGAGCTGTGTCTTGTCTGACTCCCACACCCTTCCAGACTGACGAAGTCCGTTCCCTGTGTAACATTTACCTGCAGGATAACCCAGATTAAATCTTGTTGTTTTTGCATGCATATAATGTGTTTGTTTCAGAACCATTAAAAATAAAAGGCATTTGGGGCCAGCCTGGTGGTCTAGTGGTTACATTTGCACACTCCGCTTCAGCAGCCCAGGGTTTGTGGGTTCAGATCCCAGGTGTGGACCTATCCACCGCTCCTCAAGCCATGCTGTGGTGGCATCTCACATACAAAATAGAGGGAGATGGGCACAGATGTTAGCACAGGGCCCATCTTCCTCAGAAAAAGAGGAAGACTGGCAACAGATGTTAGCTCAGGGCCAATCTTCCTCACCAAAAATAAATACATACATACTTCCTGTATTTGCCAGGAGTTAAGACATAGAACTACAGATAAACTCAGATCTTACTATCTAGTATTTATGAGAGGAAAAACCTGAAACGATAGAAATTAAGTGGCTGCCCCGGGTACACGTAGCTGCTTCATGACAAGAGTCCTACCTAAGGGCCCTTCTCACTGCACCAGCCCTAACGGCTGATCCGTCACACTCTGTTTGTTGCCAGTGAATTATTTTTGAGATCTTTCGGAAGACTTAGGTGTGATTTGGAAGCACAGTGCAGTAGTCATAAACCACTAGCTTTTGTGCGTCCACAGGTGAGGTTCTTTCTGATTTGCCGTCAGGAGCGTCTGTCATCTTAGATTGGCAGTGTTAGGTCCTCACCACACGGACGAGATTTTATAAAGTGTACTTCTGAGTGCAGTAATTACACCCTGGGAGACCTCGTGGAATAAAACGTCCCATTGTAGAAACACTGCTTTGAGGAAGAGAAGGAAGAGTGAAGGATTTCAAAATTGCAATAAAATTATTTTTCCTACAGTTTTATTAAGAGAC